TGCCGTTGCTACGAACCTTTCAAACTTGTTCACCCAGGAATCCGTCGACTCAAGTTTAAATCGACGGACTTTTGTCAACTGCGAAACGACACACGCCAGAGACAAACTCGTTCAATTTATACGCGTGGCTCTCGTTGATCAAACTAAATTTAACTTTTAATTATAGAGGGGAAAAGAAAACGCTTTGTACGTGTAACCGATATGTTACATTTACATTTCTGTCATCCTTCGAGATTAGCTTCCAGATGGTCAATTTTATAAAGACGCACCTTTATAAAGTGTCTTTGTGACACTTCTTTATGACGCACCTTTATAAAGTATTTTTGTGACGCACCTTTATAAAGTATCTTTGTGACGCACCTTTATTAAGTATTTTTGTGACGCACCTGTATAAAGTATCTTTGTGACACACCTTTGTGACGCACTTTTATAAAGTATCTTTGTGACGCACCTTTATGAAGTATCTTTGTGACGCACCTTTATGAAGTATCATTGTGACGCATGCACCTTTGTAACCCATCTTTGTGACGCACCCTGATAAAGTATCTTTGTGACGCACCTTTATGAAGTATCTTTGTGACGCACCTTTGTAACGCACCTTGGTGACGCACCCTCATAAAGTATCTTTGTGACGCACCTTTGTGACGCACCTTTATGAAGTATCTTTGTGACGCACCTTTGTAACCCATCTTTGTGACGCACCCTGTATCTTTGTGACGCACCTTTATAAAGTATCTTTGTGACGCACCTTTATAAAGTATCTTTGTGACGCACCTTTATAAAGTATCTTTGTGACGCACCTTTATAAAGTATCTTTGTGACGCACCTTTATAAAGTATCTTTGTGACGCACCTTTATAAAGTATCTTTGTGACGCACCTTTATAAAGTATCTTTGTGACGCACCTTTATGAAGTATCTTTGTGACGCACCTTTATGAAGTATCTTTGTGACGCACCGTTGTAACCCATCTTTGTGACACACTTTTGTAAAGTATGCTTTGTGACTCATCTTTGTGACGCTCCTTTGTAAAGTGTCTTTGTGGTGTCTCTTTGTGACGCACTTTTGTGACGCACCCATGTAATGCATCTTGGTGACGCACCCTTGTAATGCATCTTGGTGACGCACCTTTTTAAAGTATGCTTTGTGACGCATCTTTGTGACGCTCCTTTGTAAAGTATCTTTGTGACACTCTTTTGTGACGCACTTTGGTGACGCACCTTTGTAAAGTATGCTTTGTGATATTTTTCATAATTCGTTCTCTGAACGTCCGCGTAAAAACACCGAATTCTGCATGTAATTTCCCCTGATAGGTTATTCAAAGTAACCGAACGTCCAATTTCAGCGTGGGTAAGTGGGTTTGCGGGAAGAGATAGGTTGAGGTAAACTCCTGGAAAATTGACTCTCATCAGGAAAGTGTTGCACTCGTAGGACACTCGGAGCTTCTTACAACAATCGATGGCTAGCGGACCGGAATATCTTATTATCCTCCATTTTGGCTGTTTGGCAGTTTTCCAGTGTTCGCCAATTTGCACTCGTTAAAGACACGCCTGGCGAACTTTACGATCGGACAATGTTGACTAAACGCTCCGCTTTCTCCATTTTTATGGGACACTCGTCATTTTCCTGCTGGAATAATTCTTTAATACCGGAGTTTTTATTGGAGAGGAATTTGATGGTGAGGGAAAGTTGGAGACTTTTGTGGAATAGTTTTGTTGATTTTGAATTTTTGGGTTTTAGGTTCGTGATGCTCCAAGTGATTATCATTGGTGATGTTCTAAGTGATCATCGTTGGTGATGTCGCAAGTGATCATCCTTCTTGATACTCCAAGTGATCATCAATGATTATGTTCCAAGTGATCATCCACAGTGATACATTTCGAGCTTAACTATTCAAATTCATGATATTTCAGGTGTTCATCATTCTTGATATTCCAAATGACAATCTTTCATGATGTTCCAAGTGATCATCCTTCATAATGTTCCAAGTGATCATCCTTCATGATGTTCCAAATGATCATCCTTGATGTCCCAAGTAACTATCCTCGACGACATTCCAAGTGACCATCCATTTAATCCCAAATCACCAAATCCCCCACCCAACTTCCCAACCCCAAATTTCAAGCTCCAAATTTCAAAATACCTCCCTCCAAAGCTAACTACAATTAATTATTAACAGCAAAAAGTAAGGGAATTACAAAGTAAGAGAACGAAAGTCCTCGCAAAGGTATAATTTATCCGCATTATTGTTAGCCATAACCAGTTAGAACGACAAATAATGTGGTAACCCTATTTCGAGGTTGCACACGTGGTGCAGAGTTTAAATTGGAATGTGCCCGGGGGTGTCTCGTATGCAGTTAACAGGGGTTATATCCAAGCCTCGGATATTCTAGCTAACCACCGATTGCAGTTAACTTCGGCCACTATTTCAGCAACGGATGCAATGTTGGCATGTTCGAGAATTCGTTTTCTATTTTCTTTGAAAATACCACTTGTCAGATGTGTTTGGTTAATATTCAAAGTTTTATTGTTGTACGTACTATCTTTAATTTGTTGAATTCAAGTTGACTTGGAGGTTCAACTTAAAAAATTAGCAAAAGTGTATTTTTAAAAACAAATAGGAAAATCTATTAAAGTAGACATACAGTGCTAATAATATTTTGTGTGCAACTTCTTCAAATTTTTAATTACAAACAATAGTCATCTCAGTGAGTACACTCAGACCTCCCATATGCTCTCTACGATATTTCAAAAAATAATTCTGAACCTTCAACATGATCTAACTTAACCTAACTCTTGAATGGTAGATCAAACCCAGGGCCAGGCAGTATAACACCACATCAGTAGTAGTTTTATAACATTACTTGTACCTAACCTAGCCTAATCCTTAAATGGTCCATCAAACCTAGGACCAGGTAGCTTTTCACCATATCAACAGTAGTTTTATATCACTCGTACCTAACCTAACCTAATCCCTAAATGGTCCATCAAACCTTGGATCAGACAGCTTTTCACCACATTAAAAATAGTTTTATAAAATTACTCGTACGTAACCTAACTTAAACTTTAAATGCTCCACCAGACCCAGCTCTAGACAGCTTCTGACCACTCTAACTATACAGTTTCATAACATAATTCATACCTAACGTAACCTAACCTTTAAACAGTCCATCAAACTCTGTACCAGACAGCTTTTTATCAACCACATTTTTTATCACCAGTCCTCAACATTATTCAAAGCTGAAAAAATGTACTCGCTTTGAAAGGTGCCCTATAATTAATAGAATGAGTTTATCCGCAGAAAATGTGCACATGCTCTCAAAATAAATTAACACTCCGGTCGGTTAATTTGAAACGAGGGTCGCGAAGCGTACGACTTGCGGGGAATTTCGTTTTTTCTCCAGGGTTCGCTTTCGACAAAGTTTGGTCGGACGGCGCGAACGTTGGACGAGCACTTTCGTGGCTTCCAAAGCCAATAAAGGTTCACCCGTTTAGCAGTCTTTCTCTGTCTTCCGTGGGGTCTCGGAACGTAGCGGAGAAGGATAGAAAAGTTGCTAACAGGATCATTGCAGCGTGATAAGTGTACGTATTAAGTCCGGGTCGATAACCTTCGTGGCCGAGCTAGAGAGTCTCGAAATAAGAAAGGAACACGACCGGCGCTCTTAGGAAGCTGCCCAAGTGCGACCGAACTTCTATTTGTTTTTCGAGTGGAATGGGAGATCCAGTTCGATTTATTTGCTGCTCACTTCGTATTACTTCTACCAACTGCTTTGTGGCGTCTTCGGGTTACCCGGTGAATTTCTCATTCACTTTCTATGCATCGGGGGAAAATTGCGTAATAAGCTAATGGTGATGGAGTTAAAATGGTTGATAAGCGGATTCCTTCGTTTTATGGCGGTATTCGTGGTATTAGGGGCTTAGGGGACACATATGTGGGTATTGGGCGTATAGGTATCACATATATAGGTATTACACGCGTAGATATTGCATATGTAGGTATTGGGTACATAGGTATCACATATGTGGGTATTAGGTGCATAGGTATCACATATGTGGATATTAGGGGCATAGATATTCCATATGTGGGTATTAGGCGCGTAGGTATTTCATACGTGGATATTTTAGGCGCATAGGTATCACATATGTGGGTATTAGGAAACATAGGTATTCCATATGTGGTTATTAGACACACAGGTATTCCTTATGTGGGTATTAGGAACATAGGTATCACATATGTGGGTATTAGGAAACATAGGTATTCCATATGTGGTTATTATACACATAGGTATTCCATATGTGGTTATTAAACACATAGGTATTGCATACGTGGTTATTAGGCGGATAGGTTTTCCATATGTGGGTATTAGGCACATATGTAGGTATCACATATGTGGGTATTAGGAAACATAGGTATTCCATATGTGGTTATTAGACACATAGGTATTCCATATGTGGTTATTAAACACATAGGAATTCCATATGTGATTATTAGGCGGATAGGTTTTTCATATGTGGGTATTAGGCACATATGTAGGTACCACATATGTGGGTATTAGGTGCATAGGTATCAAATATGTGAGTATTAGGCACATAGGTATTCCATATGTGGTTATTAGGCACATAGGTATCACATATATAGGTATCACACACATAGGTATCACATATGTAGGAATCTATCATATCCCTAAATCCCCAAATTCTCCACACCTCAAATCACTAATTTCTCATACTCCTAAGTCTCCAAATCTTCAAATCCCAAATCCTCAAAATTCAAAATCCAAAAATTTTCAAATATTCAAATCCCCACATGTGCACATCCCTATCTTCCTCACATCCTAAGTATCCGAAATTCTCATCCCACCCCAAAAAGCTTGATTACCCAAAAGACCCTAAATGTCACGAATCAAAATAAAATAATGTTCCCAAAATTTTAATAAGCTAGCTCGAGTCTTCATATTACAATATTTGTAAGGAAGTATAATAAGAAAATTAGAAAGCTTACCGATATCCTTGGAACCACCCCATGTTCCCAGTTGCGCCTGCCGCGCTAATTTAGACAACTCGTCCACGTAGACCCGGGATGCTGCTGCAGCACCTGGAAAATAATGAAACACGCTCGAAATATAGCCAGACCGAACACCAGGTGTACGTATTTTCTATATTTTTCTGTTTTCCTTGCCGCGCTACTTCGCCGATAATTCAACGCTTCGCCTCCACCACTTTTTCTTTAATTAAAACGGGATAATATACGAGCTCTTAATCGTATGGAAATTTCGATCGAGTCCCAGGGAAAACAGATCGGTTTAATTTCCACCGGGAATTGTTCAACAATCGTGCGTTTGTTCACTTTTTACTCTTCCCTGCGATACATTATTTCATTCTACTTATTTTTCTTTGTACTTCATTGTCTCTTAATTAGAACGTTTCTTGTACATTTGGAATGCAATTATTCATTTCAATATTTAGGAAATTATCAATAATTATTTTTCAATAACTTGATCATTTTTGTGTATTTTTAAATATTTGTCTGTTCAGAAATTTTTGTATTTTTTCTATTTTTATTTTTAGTATTTTCGTAGTTTGAGGATGTTCTATTTAATGAATGCAATATTTTTCTAATTGAATGTGAAGCAATTAAAATTTTCTATAAAAGCCACTAATTTGTTTTACATATAAAAATTGCAAAATCTCAAGTATTTTTCTTGCAATTTTTTTAATATTTGTCTACACAGTTTTTTGTGATTTTTTTCTATAAATAAGTTCTCATGTAACATATCCGATTGCAAAAGTTCGCTCGATTGCATTAAGAGCGTTCTCGAACCGTAAGTCGTCGGTTACTTAAACAACTTCGAAACCGACTCCACGAGCGCAGAAAAGATTAAAGTAGAGGGTGCGACTTAATACCGGAGCTTTTCGGTAGCTTAACGCATTGGTATTCGGCGGAGGTGTTCGTCTAATGCCATGCTTTTGTCTCAACAGGGGTGAATAGAAAGGACGAGCGATTTTCTTCGAGGAAAACGTAATGGCTGGACCGGATCAGTCTCGTATTTTTTTTTTTCTCCTCTTTTTATCTTTCGATCTGCCGGAAAAGTCCTTGCACGGAAACTTTCAACGGGAAGGGTGAAACAAGATAGGGGATGATTCGGAACAATGTGCTCGAAAAAAAATTACGATTTCCTCAGCTTTGTTCGTCAATTTCACGCTAGCTCTCTTGATACGAAAAACACAGTTTTCGGGAAATTACTTCTCCTGGGAGAGGATTAACGAAGGTAACAAATTTGGGGTAATTTTGTTAGTCGCTTGGAGAATTTTTCTAAAATTACTCTTTACGTTGAAAAAATTTAACAAGGAACATAGTAGAATTTTTTAGAATTTTTTCTTTTTGTTAATTTATCTTGAGGGATGATTTATCTTGAACTTTATATTACTCTATTAATTTATCTTGGAAAATGATTAACAGTTTCAATTAACTTTGGTACATCAGACATAAATTAATATTTTGTAAGAATTATAATTTTCAAAATTATTAATATACTTTTAGGGGTTGGTTTTTTGGTAGAGACCAACCCCTAGAAGTATATTAACAATTTTGAAAATTAAACTACCCCCTGAAGTGTTACTCCTCGCAAAGAATTTGTTACAAGTTTGTTTGAAAAGAAATGACCATAAAAATATCATAAAAAATATCCTAATAAAATACTATAATAAAAATATCATAAGAAATATTCATAAAAAATATCAATGAACTTTGCATCAGTCATAAATTAATATTTTGTAAGAATTATAATTTTCAGAATTATTAATATACTTTTAGGGGTTGGTTTTTTGGTAGAGACCAACTCCTAGAAATATATTAACAATTTTGAAAATTAAACTACCCCCTGAAATATTACTCCTCGCAAAGAATTTGTTACAAGTTTGTTTGAAAAGAAATGACCATAAAAATATTGTAAAAAATATCCTAATAAAATATCATAAGAAATATTCATAAAAAATATCAATGAACTTTGCATCAGACATAAATTAATATTTAGTAAGAATTTTAATTTTCAAAATTCTTAATATACTTCTAAGGGTTGGTTACCCCTCGCAAAGAGCTTGTTCACTTAAAAAGAGCAAAGAGGTTTTACATTCATAAAGGAGTGGTTAAAAAGTAACCCCCAAATAGAAAGAGCATTGATTCGATAAAAGTAAACACCTAAAACTTTTGGCCGGCATTGAGTCTTTCGTTACAATTAAATCCGAAGAGTCCACTTTTCCGTCGGAAGAACGGTTGATCTTGAAAGAGAACGATCCGCAGCGAGTTTGCCGTAAAACAACCCCTACGCTTCTATACAGAGCCGTTCTTTTCGAGATACACCACGTTCCTACCCTGCCACTCTTGTCCGACCTTTTATTCCCTCTTTTCCGTCTTTTTTTCTGTGCCACGGTGGCCAGTTACGAACCATACAACCCCGTATTTATGAGGGATTCCCTGTACGCTGTAGGAAACAGGGTGCACACCACCAATTTCCACCGATCCACCCCTCTCAGTGTTCTTCCTAGGACCGTCCCAATTTTTCTGCCCCATAGCTTTTAACGAGGAGCTTTCGTGGGAAATGATCGTTCTTTATTGATAACCAGACCACTTCTAACAGCATTTTTATTCGCCCACGAGTTTACTTTTTCACCTCCAATTTCTCGTTCAACGGTAAACGGGTAATTGCACTCGATGTATGGAGGAAAGTTAATGAAGCTATGCGCAATCGTTCAGAACTGCACTTTATGCACGATCCAACTATATCGCAGATATGCTCTTTCCACTCATGGTACCTTCACATATCAGTTTTCTAAATGAACTTTTAATTAATTCCATATTACTTCTTTTCGTTTGGTACTAATATTTTTAGTGTAAAACATTTTTTTTTGAGACCCTCCGTATGTGATATCTTATATTCTTTTGACATACGTCATTTTTGTTGCCAATTGATAATAAATATTGTAGTAGACATACGTCTGTAAATAGTTTATTATAATTTATAGTTCATCTTGTAATGGATATTTTATATTTTATAAAAATATTTTAATAAACTTGAATGGATACGTTAATCAATAATTTAGAACTCCTGATTTAAGCAACAAATTATGTCTCTTACACGTATCTCCATCAGAAATTATTGAAAAATATTTTAATAGACATGTGATGTCTATTACAACATATTCATATGTTCATCAGCTTATGAATACATATTCGAGCTAGTATATTTTTATCAACACTATAGCAACTGTCTTTAAATTTTTATATTTTATGTCTCTAAATTTTTGTGTTCATTGATTTCTCAAATATCTAAAGGTAACGTGATAAAAGATGTGGAAGATCAAGTGTGAAATATTCACGGTTCGTTACCGAGACAAGGGAAATTATATCGAGACGTAATCAAAGAAAGCAGTTTTATACGTTTCCATCTAAATGGACTGATCGATTTTCCCGAGAGGAAAGAGCGAAGCGCAGACCCATCGTATTTACATTCGTTGGGAAATGTAATTTCGAGGAACCGATCGATCTAGTTTTATTCGTTGAAAGTTTGTCGCGAAGCTTAATCTTCAATTATCAGCCAATATCGAGGGGGGACAAAATGAAATTGTAATAATCGAGAGAATCCTTAATTCGAATCTGAGTAGAATATTGTCTCAGTAGAAAACAATCACGTCTCTGTCATCGAACAAAAGGTACTTCAAATTTTCCACCCCCTTATTTATTTCTAACTTCCATAATTTTCCCAAACATTTCTTCCAACTTCTAAATTTACCTGACTAAATATTGAAATTTGCAAAATTAATTAAAATGTGCAAGATTAATTAAAAGTTACGAAATTAATGAAAATTTGTAAAATTAATTTAAATGTGAAAATTAATGAACATTTGTAAAATTAATTTAAATGTAAAAATTAATGAATATTTGCAAAATTAATTTAAATGTAAAAATTAATAAAAATGTGCACAATTAATGAAAATTTGCAAAATTCATTTAAATGTGAAAATTAATGAACATTTACAAAATTAATGAAAATGTGCAAAATTAATTTAAATGTGAAAATGAATGAACATTTGTAAAATTAATTTAAATGCAAAAATTAATGAAAATTTGCACAATTAATTTAAATGTGAAAATTAGTGAAAATGTGCAAAATTAATTTAAATGTAAAAATTAATGAAAATGTGCAAAATTAATTTACAAATGAAAATTAATGAAAATTTGCAAAATTTTCATCTTTAAAAACTTCCCCTGATAAATCACCCCACATAAAAATTTCTGAACTTTCACCTCAGAGATCTAACTACCCCTTTACTTCAGAATCAATTACCAAGGGTAACTTAGCATGAGTAAAATATGCTTCAACTAAACATAACCTAAAAAAGCTCCGCCACAAATTATGCGGTAAAAATAAAACCCGATAAACGTTGCAGTAATTCGTCAAACTAAACCTATTAAACTCGAGGGTAATCGAAGGTGTATTAGGAGAAAAATCTCGGTCGTCCAATTTGCATGAAAAAAAAAAGCGAAGGGATCGTGGGTCGAAATCATTCGGAATCCGATCCGGAAAGGATGTCGAGAAAAGGGTCCTGGGGTGAGAAATTTTCAGCAACGATCCCCGGTCCCTGCGCGGAAATGAAGCGGAAAAGAGACGCGCGTAATCAAGCGGATGTCGACGCTGAATTTCGAAGAGGGCAACCCCACGATACCGTTCGCGTACCTTTCGAATATGACACGAGGGAAGCAGATTTTCAGGGTATTAGCAACCCCTCCGGTAACCACCGACAGCTCGGCGCGTTTCTTTTATCGCCGTACGTGAATTCCGACCTTACGGCAAAACCTCCGCATGAATGCCGACTACTCAGACTTCGCGGACTTTCGTCTTTTTTCGCTTCCTTCCTTCCTTTCGTTCGCTTCATTTCAGTTTCACCTCTCGCCATTTTCCCGCGTAAAAACGCGTCTCGCTACCTCGATGACTGCACTCAACGTTTTCCCCATTACCCCTGCGTTCTTTAATTTAGGGAGATACGTAGGTGGATTTTGAGGTGGAGCTGAGGATTTCGGTGGTGGAGATCTATGGA